TAGGTACAATCTGAATTTCATATGTTGCTGAACTTTAGATCCAATCAGGCCCAGCTACAATAATCAATAGTAAGCAATGCTCAGAGTAATAGTTCAACACTAGCTGAAAGACCATGGATTCCTCACCCTGATGACTTGGAAATAAGTCCCATTCTGTTCAATACAATTCATTCCAAGTTATTTATACATACAATTACAGTTTAGAAAAAGGTGATATTTACAGAGATAGTGTACAATTTATAATTAGATTGTTGGATTCATAATGGTAAGCTATGAGCTTAAATATCAGCTTAATTGTGAAATTCAGCTCACTGAATAATTTACTGTACAGCAAAATACAAATAAACCAAAGTGTTATCTTAATCATCTGATGTTATTGTTGTCACCCATATTAATCTCATTCACAGAGCAGACAACAATGGGGAAATAACTGCCAGAATAACCTAAAATTGGTGAATGTGTTTATTAAGATGCATCAGAATTCACAAGCGTTTTGAACTTTCAGAATTCTTCATTTGGCAAATTTAAAGAGCAAGGCTTAGGAGTTCTTGAAAACTTTCTATCCTATGTGTGGGTCAGACCTACAATCAGAGAATCATGCTTACACAATCTGACATCTAAATCCAAAAAGGATTATTTGTGGCTAAAGTGACATGTAGAATGATAGCCAGTAAATTGGTCCAGAAACCAACCATCTGATTTCTATTCAAAGTTCCAAAGAATGAAAACTGGAGAATGAGAATAAGGTCCAATCAAGAGTTAATATGCTAGAAAATCTAAGGCACAAAGTATAATAACAAGCTACTTCCAAAGAGCTTTATAGTAAAGACCCTATTAGCACTTCCTTTACTCAACTTTTACTCATTAAGCCTGATCTATCTGCAAGTTCATCTAAATATTCTGTAGATTTTTCATGCCCAATGTTGTCTTCATACATGTAAGAACTCAGATGGGTTCCTTTTCATTTGGGCTAGATGACATCAGTGGGTGAATCCAGGTCAGTGTCTTGATCGAAACAATTTGAACTAGTAGAAAGTGATTCTGGCTCAAACCCTGTGATAGTTTGGTGTAACAATCTTACCTACAGTATATTATAGTTCATTGCACAGTCAACCAGATGTTCAGATTGGATTTGGCATTTTTATCCAGCTATTGATTCCTTCCCAAGGGCTTGGATAGGCGGATGTGGATGCTTGATGGTGTTATATGTATCATCACAGGATGTAAGCTGTTTTAAGTAATTGACTGATGTTGATTTTGTCAATACCAATGGTGTTCAAGTGGTGCTCCAGGTGTTTTGAGATTGCACCCAAGGCGCCTATTAGTATTGGCACTACCTTTGCTTTCCTTTGCCAGTCGTTCTATTTCTATTTTGCAGGTTTTTGCATTTTGTTATTTTCTATTACTATTGTGATGATTATTGTTATTTTATATTCTGAAGAACTGAGAAGATACCACAACACTATCATACTTGTGCTATTTTGCTTAGTCCTAATAAAGCTATATTACCCAACTGTGGAATCTGCATTTTTCTCCTAGCCCAACATGGCTATAATTCCTTCTTTTGTCTGAATATAAAGAGGTTTTATTTTAGATGTTTGTTTGCTTGAGTGCTTGATTTTGTTCCAGTTCTATATTGGTTCAAATATTTATCAGAGAAAAACCAAACTACTTGAGTCTGCTTAACAAAAATGGAATTCTTGTTAAAAGAAAAAGAATCGATCAAAACTCAACCTCATTTTATGTGTAGGGAGTCATTCCTGATTACGCTTTCTCTTCTATTGTGTCAAAAAAAATCCTCCACCTTTGCTCAGTCTTATTTTAGTTAGAATCTAAATGCTCTAGGCCACTTGCATTGCTGTAAAATACGTTCTTCATTGCTACAAAAGAAATGCACACTAATAAAAATGCCTCTAGATTGTCCTTTGTCTAGCAACTGACTGGGCCTTTGACTGCCACAGCATCAAACTGAAAGTTAGGAAATGTTTACCAGAAGAAGATATACTATCACAAAGGAAAATGGATTTCTTGCCTAGCTGGGATATTCTGCAGGTGAGGCAGCAAGACATCTAGACTCCCATTGTCTCTTACGATTCAATTCTCTGTGCACATTCTAGGTCTGAATCTTTTTGGAATTGGGGTGATCTCTCTTGGTCAAGCCTTTCTTCCTGACAGATACACTGCAGCCCTGGTGACTGACACTGCATGCAAATGAAGTGTAAATCATGATACACACACCCGCAAATTATACCAACATTGTATTGCTTTTTGAATAACCATACAATATCATGGCTTTTTTCCCAATGTACACTTCTCCAGCCGACCGGTCATTTCTACCTGCCTGCCTGAGCAATCAGAGATCTTATGCTCTTCTCGACAGATTAAAAGGAAAGGCAGGGAGGAGGAAGGGGAGCAAGCAGAGAATGGGAAGCATCAATGAAGCTGTGTCTTTTGCAATCCACATCTGTAATAGGACTGAAAGAGAAGTGGACTGCTCTCCTGTATGGAATCCTCAGAGCCCTTTGGGACTTTATGACTAGACTAATTCCTGCAACCATTCTTCATTTTGCCTTTGGCAGAATACACACCAGTGTGCACATGTGTATAATCTTTGATAAAGGTTGATTGCAAGTATTCAGAAAGACAACAGAATGCAACTAGAAGTAGGTGCAGTGTAGCTAAAAACTTCTTACTCCATGATATCTTTCACATGCATGCATGCTCACTAGACAAATACGTAGAATTGCACAGAGACAAATACATACATTCATTCAGGCTTGCATATTCACATGCAAAATGAGTCAGCTGACCCATCAAATTTCTTGCTGTTGCCTGCTCAGCACACTTCCCTGGTTTGGATGTACACAGGCTTTTTAAGCTTCCTGACAAAGGGGCTTTTCCATCAATAGTAGTAAAAGTGCTGTTTGAAATGTCCAAATATGAAATATATTAAACTACACAGGGCAAAATGCATGTTGGGTTTAAAAATAGTTGGATTTTTTTATTTACTTTCCCCCCCTTTTCTACATCACCACAGTGTATCAAGGTCAGCCATGAAATCATATTTCAGAGTCAGCCTGATTTAGCAGCTTGAATGATCTGAATCACATCCAATCTTTCATTCAGGAACTCAAGGGACCCTCAACAGTGCTCCTTCTTCCTATTTTTCTGAACAACAAACTAATGGGGTAGACGTCACCAAGACAGATAAACAGAAAGAGAGAATATGGCTGGCTTGAAGTTGTCCACAGAGCTTCTGTGACTAGTCTTTCAACTCTTTAACCATCTGCCTACACACACATTAAATCAAAATCCAAACCTCTACTCACCTCTACTATTTATACCTTCTCCTGTAAGTTTGGAGGTGTTTTAAATTCCTTAGGTGTTCTATAATTCTAAAAGATAAAGGGTGGTTCTTTGGAGGCATATTGCAGCCAAATTCTAGTTTGTAAAATCTAGTTAATGTGGGGCTTCCCACTGCATTTTTTTTCATAATTCAGTGGGAATTCTGCAAAAACTAATATTCAATTAAACAGTTGCAGAATTTTAGGAATTATTTGTTATGGTTCATTCTAAGGTTACAAATTAATTAAAATCAGAACTTCATCTTACAGACCATGAAGCTGAGAACTATGCTCTGTAGCTATGAAACAAACACTAACCAACTTTTGTAAAAGGAAAATAAAGACAGGTCTATTTATTTATTTATTTTAAAAAAACCTGCTGAAAAGGCCTGGTTGTTGTAGAACTATAATATATTAGGTGAACCGGGGCCTTTAGTATCTTTAGTATCCCAATTTTCCACCGCTATTCTTCTTTCTTACAAGAAGGACTTCAACCTGGTCCACATTTTTGGGTGCCAAATCTTAGCAGACTTCAAGAATGCTTCTTTACCCTGACCCACCACGAAAAAGTTTCTCCCTGGGCTTTGCTGAACCAGGCACAAGACAAACAAGGGTGCAGAGCCTTAGTAAGAATCTTTTGCTCCTAAACGGGGCTACATGGGGCAGTCCGTGTTTTGGAGTAGTCAAGGCTGACTCACAGTACAAACATGGTTGCTGGCAAGAGCCCTGGCTCCAAATGCTTTGTGGTAGGAATGGCTTTCAACTCTCTTTAATTCATTATTTATTGACTTCTCCTAAAGACACCAGCAAGTGAAACTTCGCAGGCACCCGATTCCTTATCTCCAATTCTCTGGGGACTGAGCAAACTATTGGTAGCATCAGGAACACTGCCAGCCCGATGAAACCTCCCACCTCCCAAGAACATCAGAGCCTTCAAATTTCAGCATCCAAAAAGAGAGTTTGAAACTCGTCTTTCTTTGGGCTTTTTTCCCCCAAGCCTTGCGTCATAAACGACAATAAAGGGGAATAGAGGCTATACAATATACATACCTGCCACCCTCAACAACATCTTCAGATCTTTTTTTTTTTTTTAACTGACCCCGACTACATAACCTGTCTCTTTTCCCCCACCCCTCCTCTTTAACCCTCCTTTTATTTCAACACACGTCATAAATATGCGATGGGTTGGTTGGAGGTCTGTTTTCTCCGCATCACCGCGATCGTTGCTGCGGATTTGCGAATGCCTGCAAGAGGGTTCCTACTTGATCCTGCAGGAATTGTGCATTAAACGCACACACGCAAACTCCACCACCACCAAAGACCTCCCCACCCCCACCCTGCCCGAACAAACTTCCTCGTACAGGAAAAAAAAAAACAATAACCACAGACCAAATTCACGCACCGTCGCAGATTAAACAGAACCCAATCTGCAGCCACATTTCATCCCAGTTTCCATCTGCGGCACGCAGGAGGCGGCGTTTGGGTCCTGAGGTAATGCAGCACATGCACAGAAAATCCTTGTCAGGTTCCCACAAGATTTCAGACCCGCAAAATAGCTATGGTACTGCAGTGCTCTGCGGGATGATTAAGCCCCCCCCCCGCTCTACTATCCGCAGCTCCCATTCAAGGCAACCCTTAATAGGTGGGAACACTTACCCGCCTGGCACTTCCTCCGCAGCCCAAGATCAAAGCCCCTGCAGCGCTCCGACTGGTTGCCAAATTCTGCACATTCGTCAGGATGATTAACCACAATTACGAGAGGATCTGATGGGAACAGCTTTGAAAGGCTTGGGCAAGCGCTGAGAATGCAAGTTCTTAGCCTTCTGCAAACACAAACACGCAGCCACACCGAACTGCGGTCATTATGCCAGCCGAGGAAACTAGGGAGCAGGCATATTCCCGCACCGAGGACGCGGGCGGGCGGGCGCGCGCGCGCTGTGTATTATGTATGTGTGGGGGGGGGATAGCACAGATAAGCGTTAACAGGGCTGAAGGATCCAGGAAGACAGAAGGTTGCACTTTAGAACTAAAAATGAACTGAGGATTAGGTCATGCCTTGAAAAAAAAGCACCTGACGTCATCCCCAGCCAATCAGAGAGGGAGGCTCAGGGGCAGGATGACGTCAGCCTCTGATCCTGGGCTTTGGGTGCAGATTAAAGAGAGACAGGCAGGCAGAATTGCCTTTTAAAAGGGGCGATGGGCTGATTTTCTTTTTGTGCTTCATTCCCTTTCAGTTTTGCAAGCTCTTAAAAAGGAAATGCCCTGGTGTCGGGGGAGGGAGCGGGTGCAGAGGAATTGTAGCAACCTAAAACAAATCTCTCATTCTGAATCTACATGTCATTTATTGTTGCAAGAAGGGAGGGTAGGCTTACTTCGTTGGCACATAGATAAATCCTGCTGCTGGAAAGAAAAACTGAAAATTGCTCCCTCACTTCTTTCCACAGTGCTCAAAGGAAAGGTGGATTGATTGCAAAATGAATTAAGGTGTTTTTTTTTTCAACTCCTCTGAATTACAGAGATGGACTGAGTAACTTCCAATAGGAATACATAACCCTGGTACTGAAATTTCTGCCATGCCTTTGATGTGGAAAATAGCCACCAAATACTGGGTAGATGGCCACTTCTTAGTAGAATAGGCTAGAAACCAAACAAAAGAGTACAGTAGTGTTATACTGCTATTAGTTGTATTGCATAATTGTGTAACCTTATTGTTCTGCTGCTCCTGCCATAAACAATAATGCAGGTGATAGTCTCACACAATATCTGTTATTTTATTCATATCATATCCAGGACTGGCTTTTAGTGAGCAAACTCCCTGTGTTCTATCAGCACCCCCTTCCCGTTGTAACTAGTATCCATTCCCTCCTTTGTCATTTCAGGCTTTGTTGCTCCTTTCCTTCCCTGGGTGATACATGTCAGAAATATATGCAGTCAGGAAAACTGTATCTGAGATTTGTACACTTAATCCTATAATACTCTTAATCCAAAAAGCAGATAAATAAAAGGGAATGAGTAGATGTGATCTCTCCCAAATTCCTGTCTTGTGTAGGCTACAGTTTAATATATGTCTTTCCTCCCCTCCTTTTAGATGTATGGGCTTTTAATAATAGTAATTTCTGAGGAGAAATGTCTTAATATTACACCACATCCAATCGGCTCCTTATCTGTTCTGAAAAGACTTGCTCAAGCTTTTCCAGTTCTTTCTCAGTCATCTACTTTTCCAACAAGTGTATATTTTCAAGCAATTATGTAGAATTAATGACAACACACTTTTCAAATTTCACCATAAAAGGTCAGGAAAATCATATGATCTACAGCATAGGTGTCAAACTCGCTATGTCACGTGACGTGTCGCGACGTATCGCAAAATTTTTTGCATTGCCAGAGCTGAGGTGGGCGTGGTGTCCGTATGATGCAATTGGCCCGTGGGCCAGCAGTTTGACACCCCTGATCTACAGACTAAAGCTATCCCAGATTTGAAGGGGCTGGATTGAAGCTGATTTTATTGTATGTGTTTTATTTATTAATCAAATTTATACAAGAAGTGACTCTGGGAGGCATCTATCTATCTATCTATCTATCTATCTATCTATCTATCTATCAACACATATGGGACATTAAAAAAATTAAAAAGCAATATTAGGATAAAGATTAATTAAAAGTAAAAAGTATGCAAACTCCATACCGAGAGACAATGAATGCATTCAGCCTCAAGAGTGGAGCCATCTAAACAAGGCTTGGGTTCTCTGGGTTGACCAGGCCTGGTGACATAACCAAGTCATGAGGGACTTCCGAAATAACAAAAGGGATGGAGCTGACCTAATGTCAGAAGGAAGAATGTCTGATAAGATGGGTGCCATGACAGAGAAGATCGGCCACCTGGAACCTACCAAATGTAGTCCCTGACAGATGGTATCCTGAACATGCCCTCTCTGTCAGATCTAATAAGCCAGTTTATATAATCCTGATTGCTGAGATCAGAAAATAATTTAAATCATATAAATTTAGGCTGTCAGTGGATGAGGGGAAAAAAGAAACTGTCATTTTACAAGGTCATAATACACAAAGTTTGAATGGCTGCTGTTGGGAAAATAGAGCTAAATAAATAAATGAATACAAGACACTCAAAAAGCCAGACAATAATTGATTTCAAGGCTATGTCTGCCAGATTGAAGAGATAAGGACAAAAGAGGGCATGTTCTCCCCTTTTGCCAGACATCTTGTAAGCTTACTTAGATAGGACTTGGGATATTATATACAAGTAGTCCTTGACTTATGACTACAGTTGAACCCAAAAATTCTGTGGCTAAGCAATGGAGTTGTTAAGTGAGGTTCCCCCCCTTTTACAACCTTTTTTTGCTGTAATTGTTACGTGAATCACTGCAGTTGTTAAGTGAATTATACAGTCAGTAAATGAGTCTGGCTTCCCCCAGCTTGTTGGAAGCTGGCTGGGAAGGTTACAAATAATGATCACATGACCCCAGGAGAGCACAACTGCCATAAATACATGCCAGTTGCCAAGTGCTTCAATTTTGATCGCATGACCCTGGGAATGCCGCAACAGTTCATAAGTATGAATACTGGTCATAAATCCCTTTTTTCCAGTTCTGCTGTAACTTTGAATGGTCACTAAATGAATGGTTGAATTTCAGCTTGACAGCTCTTACTAAAGGGCCAGGCCTAGCTGGAAGCCCTGAAGTTTAACTACATTATTGCATTAAAAGTTGGAGAGGGGCAGTTTGCTTGATTATTCTTATATCACCTAAAGCAGGGGTAGGCAACCTCGGCTCTTTTATGACTCGTGGACCTCAACTCCCAGAATTCCTGAGCCAGCGAGTTGAAGTCCACGAGTCATAAAAGAGCCAAGGTTGCCTACCCCTAACCTAAAGCAAGGCTTCTCAAACTGATGATTGAAATTCCCAGAGGAATGTATGAGAATCATAAGCAGCTGGGGAGGAACAATATTTAAAAGTCCCAATCCCAATGGTATGGGAAAAACAATTGCACAAATACTTTCAAAACTACTATGTAAGAAATGCGCTGCTTTTGACATGGGAAAAAGTAAAATCAAGAATTTACATGAAAATACTAGGATGGCTTTTGACAATGGAGGCGTTTGTACACCCAAACTTAATTAATTATGAGAAACTTGTGACTTATAAAGATATTTTGAATACTGATGGGAAACTACAAACTAAACAAGAATCGGAAGAACAGGGCATTGAGCTATCATGGTGGCCACACCTGCAAATGCAAATGAGATATGAGAAAGATGTAAAAAGATATGGTTTTTACAAAGACCAGACAGCGTTAGACCAGATATTATTGTCATCAGATGACAAATTGATCAAGAAACTGTACAGCTTTCTGTTAAATTTAAAGATGGAAAATGAACAAGTTAAAGAAACAATGATAACTTGGCCAAAAAACATGAGCACAATGTAGAGTTAGAAAAATATCAAAACTTATGGGAAAGAAATTACAAAATAACAAGGGCAGCTACTTATAAAGAAAACTTATATAAAATCTTCTATAGATGGCACTTACCACCTGCAAGACTAGCAAAAATGTTTTAAAAAATGTCTAGCAATCGTTGGAAATGCAGACAAAATCCAGGCACCTATTATCATCTTTGGTGGACATGCCCTAAAGCAAAGAACTATTGGTCAAAAATACATAGGTGGCTAGAAAAGATGATAGGAGCACATGTAGACTATAAATCGGAATTATTTCTTTTAGGTATAATCTCAGAAAATTATGATAAAAATGTGTATACTTAATATTACATATATTAACAGCAGCGAGAATTACATTTGCTCAATACTGGAAAAATGAAGAAATACCATCTGAAGAAGATATAATTAAGAAAATTTTGGACTATGCAGAAATGGATAGGCTCACATTGAGAATGAAGGGGAAGCAAGATTCAGAATATTTTCAAACATGGGAAAATTTTTATAAATGGTTAGAAAAACGGAATAAAGGGTAGGAATGGAAATTGTACTATTATTAATGTCAAACATGTAAACCCAGACAATGTGTTGCTTACTAAATACTAAAGATTGTTATTGTAAAAAATTAATAAAATATACATAAAAAAGTCCCAATCACATTTTGTGGGCAGAGCTTGCTCTGGATTTTGCTCCTTGCTTTGCTTGCACAAGCCCACAGGGGACAGTTGCTGTACAGATTACTGTAAACAGTGCTTTTTTTGTAAAAAAAAAATAAAAAAAAAATAAGGTGCCAGAACTCACACACATCATACAACCCGCCTTGCCTACCCTACAAGGTTCCATCCAAAAAAGGTGCTGGAACTCTGTTCTGGGCGTTCTATGACAAAAAAAGCCCTGACTGTAATATGCAGATTAACATTTAATTATTGTAAGTGATGTATTTATTTGATCGTCCAATAAAATCATTAGTTTTACTCCAGGCAGATTCACTTAATCATTTGGGGGACTGTGGTCCCACAAAGCTTGAGAATCACTGACAAAACTGGGAATTGCACAGTTCCAAGCTGTTTAAGGGGGTTAAGATTACCCTCCTCAGTTTATACTCAAGCTCACCTACACTGAATAAAGAGCTTTCTTAAAGGGATGCACTAGGGAAGAAAACGGAAAGATGGAGATGTGTTTTCAACAATAAAACAAACATTAGGAAGCTTGATATCAATCAAATTGTAGGGACCACCCAGCAAGAGTCACTGAAGGGCGTATTCCTACAATCAAGGGAATAGGAACTGAATAATATTTTCAAACTTTCACTATATGAATGGAGTAGGGGTGGTCAAGCAGCATGTTCTGGGGATAAATTTTTATTTGCCCTTAAGGCAATATATCAACAGCAATCTGCACAAATTATAGTTAATGGGCGTTTAACAGAAGCATTTAAAATTGAAAAGGGTACAAGACAGGGATGTCCTTTATCCCCATTGTTATTTGTTTTAACCATGGAGATTTTACTTATTAAAATTCGGGAGTCACCT